CATATCGGTTAGCAGAGACTGCAAAACAAGTATATGGCGTCATCGCGTGTAGTGCGCAGTTGGCAGGGTTCAAAGATGAATATCCTACTATTTTCAAAGATTGCCACGAACAGTGGCATTTTTTATCCTTGAGATCGTGTTTGTCACTTGACAAAGTTTCAAAGATGACCAACTGAAGCGTCCCACTGCTGCATGCAGGAGTACACACAGCAGTAGGACTTTAAAGGGGCAAGAATGGGAGAGGCACGCTGGGGCTGCGAGGGTGCATGAAGCTATGAGGCGCTTCAGCGGCACTTTGCAGGGTGCCCTTATTCCGCCAGCTATAGAGAATTTTCGAGTGCTATTCGGCGACGGGAGGAGGGGCATTTTGCGCTTTCACTGCTTCACTTATTCCGGTTTACAAGTCCCGTTCTGGTGGAACCTGTGAACTCTTTGAAGCTGCAGCAAACTCAAGAGCCACCACGGTAAAACTGTCCGCCCACGAAAAGGCTTTCAAGATGGATGGGCACTTCGATGGGAAGTAAAGTGCCCCGAGTTCCCCCGTCGCCGAGCTGCCCCGAATTTCCGTGCCCAATTCGTCGGGTGAGAAGAAGTGGTTTCTGTAGCTTCCATGCGGCACGATGCCTTAGCAGTCACTTCTGTTCAGTGACGGTTATCGAGTGCCACACACCACAGTGCACGTTCGCCAAAATGGTTCACACTTAATTGAACTTAGAACCTTACCCTAGCGGATTCCCCTGCACAAAACTCCTCTTTCATTCAAAGCGTCAAAACAGTTTTCAAGTGAAGGGTGAATATGTTCGTCGTCTGACTCACTTAGGGCACATCTTTGTTGGGAATTCTAGAACGGGAGGGGGTCTTGTTTGGTCGCTGGGAGAGGGGAGTCGTATTTGAGCAGAGGAAAATTTTTTTGATAGTTGATTTTTCTTGTCTTCAGGGATGTTGTAACTTGACCTAAATGGTCAAGCAGTAGTGATGTGCCCTGGGCTCACTCAACGAACATAATGGAGCTAATAAGGTCCCATGGAAGTCAAAGCGAAGTGTGACCCTGTTAAAGCAGGAAGGGCAATTTTTTGTTGTGCCCACCCCTTAGTTATCAGCAGAAGAAACAGTTGAAAAAAAACAATTTCATGTGCTTACATTTACGCTCTTCTTCCTCGTGTACGTCACCGGCTGAATACGATAGCCAATTATTACGGTATTTATAGGTTACAGAATTGATCCTGTCTACCTTGAATGTCCAGTACTGAAAGATCTTGGTTAGACATTGTGAAGAGTAGCGTAAGTTCACTAACAGGCCTCTTAGGATTCAACTTTTTCAACGATTCTTCCGCTTTCAGCTTCTTAGGATTGCTTCTAACAATCCAAGAACATTGAAAGCGCAAGCATGCGCTTTCAATAGTGTACCATACCAAACTGAAAAAGGTTTACATAAATGGGTTTAAAGAGAGGGTATCGCGAACACAGCCTTTTTGGCGGCGGAACTTTCCTGCAGTAGTGAGTATTCATGAAGGCTCGGAACAAGGCAAAACGCTCCGCTCAAGCAGGTGGCACCGATAATTTGATACTGTGGCTTAAACAATGTTTGCAGGGGTGCTAGTAGTGGGGGAAAATGGCAGAAAAAAAACGAAAGTGAAACGATCAAAACCTGTAGGGGGAAGCCGTCGTTTTTGAGACCAGCATTTTACGGACGAGTTTCCCTAGGACCACTCGCCGATGACCGCTGCGGTAAGTACGGCTGCACGTACGTAACTCGTATATCCATGCAGCTTCGCAGCCGCATCAATACCAATCTCTTCGCTTTATTTTTTTTAGGCGAATGAAACCATACGAGCATCAGGTACGCTCGTCCATTTGTGGGCTGGCAGGCGCGGTGGGCGTGTGAGGATGGTAAGTATGTGGCGATAGGACCTTACAAGAGTGCCTCCTTTAGATAAGCGCTACGCAGCGCCGCTCACGGACATTTGCCTCCCCTGCCAGACCGTATTCAAATCCTACTCGTCTTAGGGACTTATCGCGCCAGCTGCTTTTGAATTCACAACCCTCAACGCACTCTCTGAAAAAGTGGTAGAGAGCTGGTGACCCAGTTAAAGGCAGCGCCCACGTTCATTTGATGTTCCCGCGCCTTCTTTGGATACAATAGCCCTCCCCATGGGGATGCAGTATGTAAATACTAGTTTTGCATCTCAAAATGTCGAAAGAGAGTGCCGTTCGCTAGTGAGAGTCGGCCGCTCCGCCCACCTGGCCAGCATAGGGCACTATTCAGGGTATTCCCATGATTTTTTTCTGCTTTTTCCACTCATAACTCATTATTCTTGAAAGCGGGCTCAGCCTTTGAAGGCTAAGCCAAAGCAGTTATGGCAGCCAGGTGGGGCGGCATCCTCTTCACAAGCGGGTGGCGCCATCCTCTCGTATTTTTGAGCTGCGAAATTAGTACATCCTCCACCCTTGTCGACAAAGCTACGATATCTAAAGAGGGCGTAGGAACATCAAATGAACGCGGAGCCTTTAAGATGGTAGGTAGGATGGGGAGAGGGGGAGTTTGCCTTTCGCAAAACTGGGTGCTCGGGTTACATGTTACATTGAACTCATTCGGTTAGCACGCATGGACATTGACTGGGTCCCAACAGGGTCAAAGGAAAGTGTTGCACTATTTCGGTGTGAAGTAGCAATCCCATGAATTCTCCAACCTACACTTATAAACAGATGAAGCAATACAAGAGAAATTACATGCTCACAGTATAATATCTCTTCGTCCACTTCGTGATAACCGTTGGCTGAACACAATAGGAGTAATACGATATTTATAGTTTACAGAATTTATTTCTTGTTACCCTCTGTGTCCATTTCTGAAAAATCTTGATTAAACATCACAATAACTTGAAGTGCTTTCAGTATAATGATGTCCCGTTGTTATAGACGCGTACGCAGCCGAAGGCGGGTATCGATCGGCGCAGGGCGCCAGTATACTCAGATAAAGTAGTGAAACAGGAGGGTACCAGACTGTATTCACCCTATTGTTATCCTACACCATCTCCCGACACGTACCGATACCCATCTTCTGCTGTCTTTCCGTCCATAACGTTGAACTTCAACGGTTTAAGTGCTATTGCATTGGTAGTGCGTCGACGTGCGTTTCAGCGCTTTCAGGCTGCGTTCATAGTTCGCGGCAGCGTCCACAGCGACAGTTAGCCTTTCCGAGGTCCGTCATCGTCAGCGACTAGGAAAGTATAGATATCGTCCTTGTGAACAGCAGCGCTAACAGCGTCTAGCAGCGTCCACCAGCGACCATCCGCGTCTCGAGGAACTAGAAAAGTATGGATATTGATCCGGCTCTACTCGTCCACCAGCGACCACGACTAGAGAGCGTGAGGACGTAGGATGGTAGCAGAGTACTGGTAGAGTATGGGGGACTAGGAGGATGAAGACAGCTGAATTAGGCTCGTGGATTTAATTGTGCAGCCGCACTGCACTACTACACAATACCGTACCCCTGATCGCTGGTAGACGCTGTCGTTCGCTAGGCCAGTATCCATGTTTTCTAGTCGCTGACGCTGACCAACGCTCGAAACGCTGATGGACGTCGATGATCACTGGTGTCGCAAAGTATGAACACAGCCTTACTGCGCACGACGCGCGTCATCTCCAAGTCTGAGCGCTGCCTCCGGGATCCGTCCTCTTCTTTGAAATGCGTCAGTGAAGCTCTTCGGCATTCATAGAATATCACGATTTTTGGGGGAGAATGTGAATTCTTTCAGTGTGGAACAGTTATTACCGTACCCCTACCCCTTTGTCAGGTAAGCAATAAGACAGCCGTAAATCCAGCCTCGCGCGCGTCGCTGGTCTTAGCTATGGACAATAGACAATGTATAACCAAAATAGCCATAGATATCCATGAAATCGTGGTCCTGATGAAATCTGGTGGTTCAATCGAGAAGCTAAGGCGAAATGGGGGGATGCCGCACCCATCGCCGCGGGCGACGGAGCTTCAAGATAAGATTGTCTTGACCGTCTTATTCCCCTTTGCCAGCTGATAAAGTGCCGCAAGGAAAATAATTCACATACTCACAGTGCTAACAAGTCTCCTGCTTTTCGTGCATACCGTCGGCTGAATATGATTACGATTAGTGCAACTTCAATAGGTCAGATTCCAACCCCACTTACCCATCTTGTCCAGACCTGAAAGATCTCTATCAAACACCGTGAAACTTAGGAGTAATCCAAAATGCATTCCAAGAAAGCTTCCTGAACTGTATAAATTTCGCGTTCGCCTATCAACAGGCAATACAAAACTGGCCAATGGTAACTACCACAGAACTGTTCATTCTCACATAAAACTCGGCGCAAATTTTTCCGTTGAATCTCATATAACCCCACTTACTAGGAAACCTTCAGCTCACAATACCAGATGAGATCTGGTGGAAAAATAATTGAAATCGGATTTTTTAGATATCTTTTGTTCATGAGTCAGGAACCCTCGCATTTCCTCCAAGGCGGCGCCCACGTTCATTTGATGTTCCCGCAACCCCTCTGGATATCACAGCCCTCCCTATGAGGATGCAGTATGTACTAGTTTCGCATCACAAAAAGGCAAGAGAATAGCACTGTTCGTTAGTGAGTATCGGCCACCCCGCCCACCTGGCCAGCATAGGGTTCTATATAGGGCGTTTTCCGTAAATTTTTTTTAGTTTGGCACTGTTATTACACATTCAGATAATTTTTCTGCTTTTTTTTCTTCACTACTGGATCACGTATTATATGAGCTCCATAACTCATTATTCTTGAAAGCGGGCTCAGCCTTTAAAGGCTAAGCCAAAGCAGTTATGGCAGCCAGGTGGGCGGGGCGGCATCCTCTTCACAAGCGGGTGGCGCCATCCTCTCGTATTTTTGAGCTGCGAAATTAGTACATCCTCCACCCTTGTCGACAAAGCTACGATATCTAAGGAGGGCGTAGAAACATCAAATGAACGCGGGCGCTGCTTGTAACCATCTGGTCAGGTTTTATCGCCAAACAACGAACGTTGTTCAAAAGTATCAGGCACCTTCTCTGGGGGACCTCGGAATATTCACCCAGCTGGGCTGAGTTGGTGGCACCTTGTCTGGCTCAGTCACAGTATCACTCTAATACTGACCACCACATCCTCAGGAGTCTCATCCAATTCTGGTTAACAGCAAGTTAAGAGTTGAAGCAAGGTCGATGAAGTTTTGCACTATTTACCAGGTACTGTCCCGTTCCTTGATTTGTAAAAAAAATTTCCATCGAAATTTTTTCCCTGGATAGATCCTACTGAAATGTTGTCTCCGTAGTTAGATTTAATCATTAGGTCATCCCTTTCGATAATATGAAAGGTTTTAGTTAAATAAAACGAAGAGGATAACAGTTGAAAAGTAATCACCTCACTCAAAACCGGGTAGATCACTCTTTCACGTATTACCCGCTCCCAGTGCCCCGAGAGTGCTCGGACTACTGCCACCTTCGTTTTCCCACAAGTACGAGTAAATTACTGTTCACACCAAGTTCGGGAATGACAAAACACCCGAATGTTTGTCACTGGAGAGTGCCTTTGACCGACCAGAACGTGTGAAGGTGCAGGTAGGTCGAATAAGGCGAGTCAGTTTTGCTTGTGTGCAGTACCCAATAATGCGCTTGCTCGGGACCAGGTACTGTGACGAGCAATGGTAACTTCTCGTAGTTGTGATACGCAGTAACTGTTCGCAACCAGTATAGATTAGCGGGGCATTTCCTCGTCTGACGCCCGATTCCATAATCCGACGCTGACTTATTCCATTCCATAATCCGACGCTGACTTTCCACTTGGATTCCTCTTCAATTTCTAGAGATTTTCGTCTGAGAATGGATAAGCCGAAATTTGGCTGCTAAAGGCACCAACTTTCAAAGAAAGGCAGCAGCCCTAGCTCTTTGCTTTCCTGCCATTCTCATGTATGACTCCACGTTTTTGAAAGGAATGATCTAATAGAATTTTTCGACTTCTCGAGGGATCGCGCCTACGCCGCACGTCGAAGTCAAACCATATTCGAATGCCAAGTTCGAAGCAGATGTCAGGCACTTTCGTTTGTACAGGTGTGATATTTAGGAGGTGATTAGGGGTCAAAAAACAGAATTCACGCCAAATCCACCATAAAACAAAAAATTTGGGCAAACTGTGATCCGAATTTGGAAGATGGGGACTGAACGCTGAGAGACCGGAAAATTCCGTCTCTTCGAAAACTCCAAAAATCTGCTATTACGGATTATGAACAACTCGCAGGGAACATTCCGACTACGGGTATAACAGCTCTGGCTGGGGGTGAGCGGCTTGAATTTTCGACAAGTTTCCCTCTCACTCAAAGGCAGTTGGCACGATAAATCGCTGTACAGATGTAGGATTTATACGACTGGCTTAACAGAATTCCGTGACCTCGGACAGGCGCTCCGTGGCGCCTTTTCCAAGGAGGGTACCCCTATAACGCCCTATCGAGCAACAACATTCCGTCCCAAACGCCTTCCTCGCCCGCCCGCCCACAAACGGACGACCGTTCCTGACGCTCGTATTCATTCATTTGCTGAGCAAATTATGAAGCAAAGGGATTGGTATGAAGCGGCCGTGATGCTGCATGCATACATGGGTACACATATGCAGCCGTATCTTCGGTAGCGGTGATTGGCAAGATGCCTACGGGAAACTCGTCCGAAATCGATTTTCAAGTCACTGAGAACGGAGGCTTTTTCTTCGCAGGATTTTGACCGTTTCACTCCGTTCTTTCGCCATTTCCCCACTATACAGCGCCCTACTAGCATAGGCCGAGTAGGAAACCATCGTGCCAACTGCCTTTGATGGAGTTAGAGCGAATAAATGGCGGACTACTTAACACTGCCCATGACATCTGAAACTGTCATTGTAACCTGAAATCCCACTAGTTCTGAACCGTCTTTTTTACCCTTGGGCAGAATCGGGGATAACTTATTCCTTGGGGTAGTTTGAACTCCTGAACAAGAGTATCACATCCGCATTGCACGGAACCGGGCGCCCACGCCACAGGCGCCGAACATGACATTTACACCAAGTCTGTCCACGGAAAAAAGTGGGCTCGATTCCGGATGACTGGAGCAGAGAAGGTTAAATAGTGTCTTAAGAAAGACGCTAGAGCATTCGCGTAATTGAAAAGCCCATTTTGACAGCAGAATTACAAAAATCTTCTTGTTGCTGGAGGAAGTCGCAGGCTGCCTCGAACTCTCCCACTGAACATGCACGTAATTAGTGCACTACTATGTTAGTCTGATCATGATTCTAATTGATCGATAATCCTAACCAGTAATTACTTACATTTACCATTTTTATCTACAGAAGATGTATGTGACAAAAAGTTCCGCATATGCTTACATTTTTGACTTCTCTCTTTGGAGGGTTCTGAAGCAGGAATTGTTGTTGCATGTATAGATTACAGAACAAATAATAGTTACCTTTGGCGGCTGAAAAATCTCAAATGAACGTTATGAAAATCACACATTCTCAAAATTCAATGCCTGTGTGCATTGCTTTGGGCATGGAGCTGCTGGCTCTCACATGATTGAGCTGTGCTCGTCCAACTTTCTGCAGTGCTTCCCAACAACAAAATGAGAGATAGCGTTCTGGACCCCGCCACGGGCATTATGGCACATCTGCCACTTTCCCACGAACTTCATTTTGATGTCGGTTATAGCACTGCTTTCTCATGGAAACTCACAATAGTGCGCAGTATTTATCCCTAAACCGACCGGGGGTGGCTTAAGACGCAATGTTAGCCCGTTCTCCCTTGGTTGTTGTCGCTCGGGGCGCTCATCGAGTGGTGAAAAGAGGCAAGTATAAAGGCATTATCATCGCTGCATTCGAATAATTGAAGGGTGAGAGCCAAAACAAACAAAGCAGCAAACAAAACCTGAAGTGACGGGCATGGATGCCATGGCTGAGAAATTCAGTTTCGAAAGACAAGGAGGATAATAATAAAAGAAGTTTGATTACAACGCAGGCCAGAGGAATTAACTACGAATTGTTAACGACTACGAAACTAATGTTCAAAGACGTTAAGCAATGGCGGAAACGCTGGCAGAAACGGTCCACGTGGTCAGTAGGAAAATTGTGCAAATGAAATCTCATCCGAGCGAAAAAATCATCAAAAAGTTGTTCGCTGTAGCTGCTAAATGCGGGTGAGCTAATCAAGGTTGAAATTGTGAGAGTAAGTTGTCATAAACTCCTTTCCCCTAAAATGGAGTAGGCGTGGCATTCGAGCATGACATAGGGTGGGTTACTCGGGAGAAGTTTCAATTTGAGACAACTGTCACCTTGTACTGTGTTGACATAAAGACATCATTATAATTGTCTCAATATGAAAATACCACATGGAAATCTCAGCCACCGTCACGTTCAGTTCAAGTACGCAGCCACGCCTACCGCATCTCAGGGATTTAGAGTGTAAATATGTGAACAAAATTGGAGAGACTACAACCAAAATAAGAAAGTTAGCAAACATACCTTCTTTGTTCGGGGGAGTATAGGGCTGAAATGCCGGCAGTTTACATATAATCAAGATGGATAAGTATCAAAAAGGTTTTTGCTGTAGCTGCTGGTTACGTATATGCTAACTCAGGTTGAAGATAGTGAGTTTCAGTTTTCATAAATATCGAATAAAAACGACGGGACGAAAGCCCACAAATGAAGATAGCAAACCATACCTTTGGTGGAGGGTAGACTGGAGGCTGCAATTTTGACAGTTCAGGTACAACCAAAATACAGAAGTATTAAAAAATTGTTCGCTGTAGTAGCTCGTCATGGGTGTACTAACTCATATTGAAATTGTGAGTGTGACTGCATGACTACGCGTATAAAAACGAAAGGACAAAAGCCAGCAATTGAAGATAGCAAACAATACCTTCGATGGCGGGTGGTAGGGCTTCGGTGGGCGGTAGCCCTGAAATGCCGACAGTTCGTCTACAAATAAGATGGAGAAGTATTAAAATGTTTTTAGGAGCTGTTCACGGGTATACTTAGTATGTCCGGAAAGTTTTGAGAAATTTCAACTAATGCATATAATTTTGAGAAATTTCAACCAACTCATTTAACGCTTATCAACAACAATAAGAGATAGAAGTTTATAGTTATCCTATACTAGTATATATAAATCCGCTAAGTGTGTCTGTGTGTGTCTGTGTGTGTGTGTGTGTGTGTGTCACGAAATTCATAACACCTGTCCCAG